CGCGCTGGGCACCAGCTTGGTCTCTGCGCCCGGCCTGCGCCAGTACCTTCATGATCCCGTTCCAGTTGTCGCCGGTCGAGACCTGGAAGAGCGTGAGGAAGGCCATGCCGAAGTTCTCGAAGGTGGCGTGCCGACTCATGCCCTCGCACGGATTCTCGTCGTTGCAGACTGCAAGGGAGAGGCGGCTGAGCGGCCCTGGCCATGCGCTGCCCGGGCTGGGGGCGGCCAGCGGAGCCCCGCAGCCCAGTGGGCGTAGGGCTGGGCCCCGCACACAGATGGAGGAAGGAGGCTCAGGGAGCCGGCACTCAAGTTGGGGCTCAGAGGGAGTCTGCCTCCCCCTCCCAGCACCCCCTAGAGCCAGCAGCTGAGAGCAAAGACAGGGGTGGGGTGAGGCGGGGCTCGGCAGGGCAGGACCGCCCTGGCCCAGCTCAGGAGCCAGCAGTTGGGGCTGGAGGGAGTAACTCCAGGAGGTCGGGTAGGTGGGGGGGCTGCAAGCTGGGGTCCAATGCACAGTCCTGAGGACCAAGTCAGCCCCTCCCAAAGGTTCCTCCTCACCCCAGGAGAAGCGTGGGGACCGCTGAGGATGGCCCGCCCACCTCCCCCTGGGCCGAGGACGGGGAGCAGCGCCCCAATGCAGAGACTCTGATGGGGCGGGGTGTTGGGGGTGAACTCCAGATCTGTCCTCCCGCCCACCCCAGCTGCAGGCTGCTTGGGGAGCCACTCACCCAGCTTCCCAAAGAGCTCCACGCCCAGGGCAGCGTAGATAAAGAAGAGCAACATGAAGAGGAGGCCCAGGTTGCCCACCTGTGGGGAGAGCAGTGGGGCTGGGCCAGGCCCGGGGCCGGGCGGGGGTGGGCAGCAGGCTCCAGGCAAAGAGCAGCCTGCGGCCGGGAACCCGGAGGGCGCCGCGGCCAGCTCCGGGCACAGGGCAGTAACCGAAGGCGTGTGAAGCCTTTTCTGTGAGCCACGGGGCTTCAAACGCTTCGCGCTCTTTGGTTCACTCTGCACAAAGCTCTGTGGACTTCACTCCCATCCTTCAGAGAGAGAGACAGATGGCGTAGCCTGCCCAGGGTCGCGTGGCTAAGGGGCAGGGCTGGGACTCAAACCCAGCCTGGCTCTGGGATCCACGTACTCAGCCCCTATTCCATACTCGCTTGTATTTCGTACCGAAGAGTGAGAGGGACAGAAGCCAAAATGCGCCTCCTCCATGAAGCCTGTCTGGATTCCTCCAGGCAGCTGGGGTGCAGCCGAACAGTACGTGTGACCACACTGTCCCTGCCGCTTGCTGCTCTGGGGGATCCTTGAGAATAGGGACGCGGCTGGATGAAATAAAATCTGCCCTGTCGGGCCTGCATGGGGCCTGGCGCAGGAGAGCGGGCGCAGGTTGATGTGAGCTTGCGGCCCAGCCACCCCCACCCGCAGCTCCTGTGGGAGGAAAGCATCCCAGATTCCAAACCCATCCCAAACACACCCTGTGCTGGAGGCTGCCTCCGCCCTGCGGGCTCGGCGCCAGCACCCCACACCCCAAAACGCAGCCCCTCCCAGAGGCCTCGGGACAAGGGGAAGGTCCCGTTAACTGCTGAGACATCAGCCACCTTGCTGACGGCTCCTCGCGCTCAAGGAGGTGCTACAGTCGCCCCTCTACAGTCGCTAACTAAATAACGCTCCGGTCGCCTGTGAAGCCAGCACTCATCCCGCGCTGCCCGAGCAAGGGGAGAGCAGCTGCCAGGACAAGGCCTGGGCCCAGCCCCCTGCGGTCCGGCTGGAGCCAGTGTGGACTTCGCCTTCCCCGTCAACCCCTCCCTGCGCCCTCAGCGTCCTCCAGAGTCTGCCCGTGCAGCAGCGCCTCCCGGCCTCCCCGGGCTCCCCGGCCTCCCCGGCCTCCCTGCCGCTAGCCTCCCGCTCCAGTCCATTCTCCTCCCAGTCCCAGAGCCACCTCTAAAAGCAGCCCTGCTTGCAGGGCTGCCAGCAGCTCCCAAGCGTCCACTGCCACTGAGCCAAGCCAAGGCATTGCCGGCTGGTCACCTGGGACCCCCTGGCTGGCCTTTCAACACACTCCCACCACGCAGAAAAGAGACTCCAGTTTGCATGCCCTGTGCCCTCTGCAGACAAGGCCGGCCCTGATTTTGCCTCCTCTCTCCTCTTCAAAGCCCATGTCAGGGCTCTCCTCCTCCAAGAAGCCTTCCCTGAAGCCTCCTCCCTCTGCACGGGGACTGTCTGGAGGGAAGGGGCTGAAGTTTCAATTCCCAACACTTCCAACACACCCAAGGAAATGGTCAACATCCACAAAACAGAATGGGCACAGGTGTACAGATTTCGAGGGTAAACCCCCCCACCATGCCACGTGATATTTGGCACCAGACACCTTTAAGCACTGATGTCACCGTAATTACTATCAGGCATTTCCCTTTCAAGGCTGGAGCCCCCTGGCCATCTCCATGTGCCTTGTGCCAACTCAGTGACCCCAAGGATGCCCGGGGGTCAGACTCGGGGGCACACTCCCACCCCACTTAACAGACACTTACATGGCACTTCCTGTGACCCAGCTCCCACTCAGTGCTTTCCAAGCCTTCCTCACAAGTACTACACCGCCCATTTCACAGGCAAGGAAACTGAGGCATGAGCAGTGGAGTCACAAGTCCGAGGTCTCACAGACAACCTCTGGCAGGGCACTTGAGTCTGGGCTCACCCCACTTTCTAACTGCACAACCCCAAGCCCAGCCTAGCAGGCACTCCATCTCACGCCTCTGCGGACAAAACGGCAGGAAGAATCGCCTCTCTTTGGAAGGGCGCTCTGCTTGGCTGACCAGTGCCGTATCGCTGTCCCTTTGCTCCTAGGCTGCTGGGAAGCTCACACCAAGCACCACCCTAGCCCTGAGCACAAGCTCACCTTCCCTGGGCTGTTGACCATTTACCCTCTTGTGTAGCATTTGTGCCTCTACAGACTGACGACATGTCCTTAGGACTAGATGAGTCATATCAAGTAAATGAGTGTGCCAGAGGCTCAGCTCAGGCAGAGGTGGCCCTGAAGGGAGGGAGGGACCTGGAGGATGCAGAATTCCCAGGAGGATAAAAATGACCGTGGTCCTGCCTCCCCTCCTCCTGGCCAAGGGACAGAGCAGGAGGGGGCAAGGCTCTCCTCACGCACCAGGGTTCCCGCCCAGCTCAGGGGCTCACCAGCCCCTCCACCACCTCAGCCCACATGCCAAGCCACACTTCAAGGTGAAGCTCAAAGTCCCCTTCTGTGCAGCCTGCCCTGGCTCCCAGGGCCCTTCTCTCCCCAGTGCCTGTGGGCACCCCAACCTGAGGCGTCCATGTGCACCCACCCGCCTGGGGAGTCCGGTGGGCACAAAGCAGACCCCCAGCCCCGACCCAGGTTGGAGGCAGAACAGGTGTTGCGTCCACTCGGCCAAGTCAGAAGAAGGGGCAGAGAGGGCCCGCTCCCTCTGTCCACTCTGGATCCACTTCACGTCTGCGCCGGACTCTGCCCCAGCTCTGGGCCCACGTGGGCGGAGGGGAGGGGCCAGGTCCATGTTGCCCAGGGCCCAGCGTGACCCTCGGGTCAGCCAGGCTTCTTCCAGCTCTCACCTGGGGCAGCGCTTGCACCACAGTGTCCAGCAGGGCCCGCATGCCCGTGGCCATCTTCAACAGCTTCAGCACTGTGGGCGAGACCCAGGCCACCGCTCAGCCCCTGCCAGCGGGCATGCGCGTGCCCGTGTGTGCACGAGTGAACACGAAAGAGGGGCGCGTAAGCAAGAGGACGGCTCTGTGAGTGGGGTGAGGACCAGAACACGGGAGCAAGGTGGGGGGTCGGTGTGAGAGTCCAGGAGCGGGGGGGGGGGCACACCCCGCGGGAAGGGAGGGTCAGTGTGTGCATGAGCGCCTGGTTCGCCACCAGGAGGCACAGATGAGCCCTGGGGGAGCCCCGTCCCCACCAGCCAAGGCAGCCCGGCGGGACTCTGGGGGTGACGGCAGGTGAGCAGACAGGCCGATGGACAAGCACGGAGGTGTGTGAAAGTGAAGGGGCAGCCTTGGGGTGAGAGAGAGGCTTCTAGAAGGACAAAGTGTATTTCAAGGGGTAAGGATCGTGTGTACTGGCCAGGACTAGAGAAAAGCCCTACAGGGAATGGGGTTACTTCTGGTGTCTCCCCAGCTGCGCTGGCCCACGTGAGTCACGGGGTTATAAGGAGGCAGAGCACAGCATGCTGGGGTGCTGCCTGCAGATGAGTTCAGACTGGGGGGCGCCCTCCTGGCTCCTGTAGTCCCCGGGAAGCCGTGGTGCCCACATAGCCCTCCTCGCCCACACACACCCTTCTCACCCCACTCCTGTGCACACTCCCCAGGCATGATCCACAGTCCCGCCTGCCCCTACGGATCCCCACACGGCACCCTGCCCTCACCCCGGGCGATGCGCAGAACCCGCATGATGCGGATGATGGTGGGGTTGATAGGCAGCGCCGCATTGATCTCGATCTCCTCCAGCGTGATGCCCATGACCGACAGCAGCACAATGGCCAGGTCCAGCTGGTTCCACCTGCTCGGCCAGCAGAGGAGGGCAGCCGTGGAAGCGGGGCAGGGGCACCCTAGTTTAGAAGCCTCCCCACTCTCCACTCTGCTGAGATGACCTGGGAGTGTGACCACTCTCCCTGCTCGTCCCTCTCACCCCCACAGCCTCCCAGCCCTCAAGCAAGAGGCTGGCCAGACTAAATAATCTCTGATCTCCTGCAGCAGAGAAATGGGCTCTGACTTCTACACCTGAAGTTTGAGCTGGCTGCTCCCTCTGCATGGCCCTGGGCTAGCTCATCAAACTCTGAGCTATGTTTGTTAAGGACTGGCATTGAGTGTGCCCTGCTCTGCCTGTAGGGCTTAGCGGACCCATGGGAAATGAGTCGAGGACATCTGGTAGAACGCCTGGCCTCCATCAGGTGGGGCCCCAACCACTCCTGTTCAGAATTTTAGTCAGCACCCAGGGGACACTAAGCCATCAATGCCCAGACATTTGTTGGTTCCCTTCCTCCAACGGCCCCATCCTAAAGCCCACTCTGTGCTAATCTGACCTAGCCCAGCTACTCACCGGTCCTTGAAGAAGCGCCTCAGACCAAATGCAACCAATTTCAATACAGCTTCCAGCACAAAGACAGTGGTGAACATATAGTTGCAGTATTTGAGGGCTGTCTCCAGGGACTGGGGGAGAACAAAGAGAATCACAGCCCCATGACCCACTCTCCACCTTCCTCCAGTCAGAAAGTCTCTGCCTTTTAAGGGCAGAATTTTGTCCATTCACATTTAGTGCAAAGATCTATGTGAGTTGCTTTTTGTTCCTTCCCTCTTACACAGTGTAACATACTATCTATGTTACATTGCTATTCCCTCTTCCTTGTTTCTGGTTTGTTTTGGGTGTCCCTCTCTGAAGGCAGTATAGGGTAATGGTTAAGGCTAGTAGTTTTAAGCCAGACTTCTAGATTTGCATACTGGCTTGGCACTTACTCCTTACTCGCTGTGTGACCGAGGGCAAGTCGCTTGACCTCTCTGGGACTTATTTCCCAGTCCTTAAATTGGGAATGATAATAGTACTCACTTCAGAAAGGTGCTGTGAGAATTTAATGAGCTGATAGTCCAACACCAGGCACAGAAGAAATACTTGGTAAAGGGGAGCTATTAGAACATTATTCCATTTCTTCACATTAACTAGGAAGTTCAACAGCTACTACCCCAATATGTTAATGTTTGTTTTCTTTATCCTGCATTCATATTATTACTCTCCTAGTAATATCCTGAAATCTCCTGAAAGGAAGATACCAACGCATTACCTGGGGGCTCTGCTCCCTTCTTATTCACATATTCCAATAGCTTTTTGAACTTGGCCCCCTTACACCCCTGATACACACTTATAACTAGCTGTGACTGGTCACTTTCTCCACCTGTGTCTGCCCCCAGTGGTCCAGCCACCTGAAATGCCCTCCTTACACCCAGGTGGTAGCAGAGGCCACCTGAACAGACTTGAATGCCAACCTAAGTCCCAGTCCTGACTCCCCTAGGTACTGGATGAGGAATCTGGGGGGCAAACTTAACCTCGCCCAGCCTCAGCTTCTTCATCTACCAAGCCCTTGCCGCACCTCAGGGCTGCTGTGTGGGCCGAAGAATTAACAGCTGCAGGCTGCCTCATACGGAGTCACCTGAACACACGGCAGCCACACTGCCCTGTGCCAGATGCCACCGCCCTGCTTACAGGAACACGTGACCTTTGCCTTCGACTCATCTGCCCCACCAGCCCCCTCTGGGGGTGCTGCTCGGATCCAGCCCCACGCTACCCTGGCTGGCACCTGCTGGGACCCCGCTCCCTGTGTGGCCCAGGGCCGGGGCTCACCGTGGGCTGATTGTAGTGCTCCAGGGACATGGTGACCACATTGAGGCAGATGATGAAGGTGATGAAGATGTCCAGGTAGTGGCTGGTGCACATGGAGTGG